TTCAAATAACAATAAATAAATCTTTTTTAAAAAATATTTTATTTATTTCAAAGCTAAAGTATCAGAGAAAGAGGGAGAGAAAGAGAAGGTAAGAGATCTTCTGTCTGCCGATTCACTCCCCAAATGACTGCAGTGGCCAGGACTGGGCCAGGCTGAAGCCGGGAGCCAGGAGCTCCATCCTGGTCTCCTGCATGGATGGCAGGTGCGCAAATACCCGGGGTATCCTCTGCTGCCTTCCCAGGCACATTAGCAGGGAGCTGGATTGGAAGCAGAGCAGCCTGGACTCTGATACCAATATCCATGATATCTGATACCAACACCACAGGTGGTGGCTTAATCTCACTGTGCTCCAATGTCACCAGCCCCGGGCTCTCCTCTTTTAATATTCTCTCTTAATCCCCTCCTTGGGATCTTCCCCCACTGGTCCTCTGGTTCATTTATACCTTTTACTGGGGCTGTTAGCCCCAATGAGAGATTGTGATCTCAGTGTGGGAAAATAATTTGAAAACTTTTTTTTTCATTTTTATTTGAAAGGCAGAAAGAGACACAGAGCTCTCCTGTCTGCTGGGTCACTCCCCAAATGCTAGCAGTAGCCAGGACTGAACCAGACTGAAGCCAGGAGCCAGGAACTCAATCCAGGTCTCCCACATAGATGTTAGGGACCCAACTAATGGGCTGTCACCACTGCCTCCCAGGATGCTCAGTAAGAAGCTGGGTCACGTGTAGAGGAGCTCAGCCTTGAACCAGGCACTGTAACAGGGAATGTGGACACATCTCAAGCAGTGTCTTCACCCACCTCGGGGGGAAATCATTCCAATACAAAACACTGCAGAAAATCCTGCAACATGAATTTTACACGAATTAAACACCCAGAGTTAACAGAGGTCAAAATGTGCGTCCCATTCACTTCCTATATATTTTTAAATTATGGCAATGAACTTGATAAAATTCATAACTCATTCATACCTTTCTCTGGTCCCCTTCCCTCCTCGTGGCACACTCTCCACGTGTCCGAGCTCCCCAGGGTCTGGGGTTTGTCCTTCTTCCCTCCCCCTTGAATGCACACATCCTAGCAGCATTCCTGTAGCGTACACTCCAAGTCTGCACAAAGGGTTTAACATAGTCACCCAGCTTCCTTTGGTCACTGCATAGAATGCATCGATACCCACAGCTCTTCCACTCAACATGAGGTATCCATGTCCACTGCACAGCTACACCACGGGACACCCACTCCTCTGTGTATGGGAATCTTCATTACTCGTAACACTGAATTTCATCCCATGAATATGTATGTGAGTGTGAGGAAATGACTTCGCAAAGCATGCACATTTTCATCCTCACCGTGTATTCCCAAATTACTCTTCAAGGAAATTTACCAATTTACACTCTTTCTGGAAATGCTGCGCTGGTGTTTTTCTTTCTTTTAAGATTTCTTTCTTTATTGATTTTTATTGGAAAGGCAGATTTACAGAGAGAAAGAGAGACAGAGAAAAAGATCTCCCATCACTCTCCAAGTGACCACAACAGCCAAAGCTGAGCTAATCTGAAGCCAAGATTCAGGAGCTTCCTCCAGGTCTCTGACACCGGTGCAGAGTCCCAAGCTTCGGGCCATCCTAGGTCACAAGCAGGGAACTGGATGGAAAGTGGAGCAGCCAGGACATGAACCAGTACCCTCATGGGGTCCCAGTGTTTGTGGCGGGAGGATTAGCTAATTGAGCTATCATGCTGGGCCCAGCTGGGCTGGTTTCTATGCAGCTGTGTATAATTGCAGGTTTAGGGGCATGTATTCATGAGTAATCTTCTAATGCATTCTTTATAGATACCTGTTTTGTCTCCACCTTTGTAGTGTGAACCTTCCATTGCCTCAAGAAAGAGCTTCTGCCCAGCGCATGTGCTTTATGCATGTACTCGGGGGATTAACTGATCAAAATTACTTTGCTCTGCCCAAGATTAACATAACATCATCCTCCTAGGAAGAGACAAGGCTCCTCCATCACCCTGATTTTCAGGTGAAGGGCTGGAGTTCCAGAAAGATGAACCGGCATTCACTGCCTTAACATCAGATTTGTAGTCCTTTCCAAGTGTTCATTCAGCCTGGACCCCTGAAGTTTTAGAAAATCATAAATGGATTTGGGCCACCCTCCTTTTCCAACATGGCTGCTGGTCTTTCAGGTTTCCTAGGCCTCCAACTGAGATATTCCAGTCTCACCTGGAATCTTAAATCTTGAATCTTGCAATTCTAGACTAAAACAGACAAGTCACACTGATAGAATGATCCTTCAGGAAGTTGCCTGCATGTAGCTGGGTTGTCAGTCCAGAGCCGGCATGACAGTTCAGCTCCACGCGTTTGTCCAATGACCCCCAGCTCGGATATTGCTGTTGCCACCATGGCCCAGATGTGTTCATCATTCTAGCAGTAGAACTCGTGTGGGATACATACTAAAGCTGGGAGGAAATCATCCTCCTTCCTTTAAAGTCACTAACCAGAAGTTGCAGGCATCATTTCCCTCCATATCCTGTTGGACAATCTGTGTGGCCATAGCAAGAAATACTGAAGATATAATTTCTAATCAAAGTAGCCCTGTACCCAGCTAAGTCTGGGGGAGCTCAGGTGCCATGAGCAAAAGAGGCTGATCACTTGATGAAATGGCCCCCAGGGTGCAACAGTACAGACCCTAGGGCTCTTATACAATGCAGTAAAACTGCTGAAGTGCCACAAAGACTCTGTGTGTGGGAAAACTGCTGCCAGGCCCCCGCCTCTGCTCTCCAATTTGTAGAGCAGAGGAATAGGCCGCTGTCACAGCCAGCTCAAGGATCAGCGCCCCACAATCTTGCTCTCTGCATCCAGAGCAGACTCTCCCTCCGCTCAGGACTTTAGTAGATGTTCTGCTATTCTGCATCATGCAAGAAAGAAAGTTCAATGAAAGCTGCTAGTACTTATGGCAGAAGGCAAGGTACAAACTCATGTCCAAAGGCACGGACTAAACATATTTTTCCCCAAAGCATTTTTTTCCCCTGTCTGAACTTTTATTTTTCAATACGGAACAAAATGTTATTTGGAATAAGGTCATGGAGAAGAACCTTACTCCACGGCCTGGAGCCACACTGCTCTTTCAGAACCTGGGAGCCACTTGGCTAGCTTCGCAGAGTTAACAATCTGCATTTGTGCAAATGCCCAGGTAATAATACAAAAACATGTTAAAGCAATTCAGTTTGTTGATGTTCTCCAAGTCTCTTCCGAAAGGACTCGGTGTTCTTTCTGTAGCGTGACTTAAGCTCTGTGTCAGTGAGCTCAACTGAGCAAGTATTTATTGAGCACCTCTTGTTTGTAGAGTTCTCAGAGGTCAGAGTACAAAGCTGCGGGGGGAGGGTGGGCAAGCAAGAGAGGCAGAGTTCTTTTAGTCGCTCAAGAATCTAGGTAGAGATAATACCACTGAGTAAGTTTCATCCAACACAAACTGCGACACCTGTCTTTGAGGTTCAGTAACGGGATATGGAAGGATAGCTAGTACCAAGGATAACTGAGGAAGCCTCCTGAGCATCCACTGGACTTAACTTGGACTTCAGCCCCCCTCCCAGGACAGGAACAACAACAGCAGAAAACCACATTCCATTGTCTCTTGACACAGGCCAGCATCTGCGGGGACCCCGGGGAGTGCGGATTAGTTCCATCACCGAATGCTGATTAGTGACAAATGTTGAGTCATGCTGACTAATGTGTTCTAAATGGATTGACTCAACAATGAAGGGAGCACTGAGAGTCACAGAGTTCACATCCTGAATTTCACCAGATGCGCTTCTCAGGGACTCAGTGTGAACAAGGAGGCTCCAGCAGGTTCCCTTGACTAGGAAGTTTTTGGGCCTGGAGGACAACAGAACACTCCATAAGCACCCCAGGACAGGCTTGCGCAACCCCGTGTTATTCTTAGTACACTGGGCGGGCCCTCGCTCACATGCTCACATGCCGCTCCCTAGCCCTGCGAATGTCTGCTTCCTCACTCATGCCTTGAGACCTGACAAGCAGCAAGCTGCACTCACAAAAACTGACAAATCGAAGAGCTTTTGAAAATAATAATAATAACAACAACAAAATCTTCCTTTCTACCTACGGGGGCGTCCTTGTCTTTGAACAACAAATGTCGCCACAGAACAGAGAGCAGGCTCCCTTTTCTCTCCGTTGACACCTCCCCTGCTAGACTGCTTGAGAACCTGGTCGCCCCCGTCCAGATGTTTGCTGAATTCTGAAGGCCCCCCAAAGGGCTCAAGTCCTTTTGTCACTCTCCAAATCATTTCCCACAGCGACTGACCCATGTCCTGAAGGCGCCCTTCAATGGGAGGATAAATGAAGGCTGAGGAAGACATGCCCCCCCTCCCCTCCCCAGGCTCGCCCACAGCCCCTGAAACAAAGGTCGGAGGCGCAACCTTGTACGGAGTGTTTGGGTCAGCAGCGTCCCAGTGCGAGGCCACGGCTCCCCCACAGAGCTGTTTTCAATGGCGGCCATCATCGTGGAAGGCACGGGCATTTGTTCAGAGCCAGAGGGGGTGTGCTAGGTGTAGCACAAAACATCTAGCTTCGGGTCCCCAGTGCCTTTGTGAGAGCTTCCTGGCTACAGATGGCAGCCGGCTTTCTCAAGGGAAACTCCTGCGCTGCGCTGGAAGAGGAGGCCTTAGAGGGGCTTTGGCTCCCTCCGATGACCTCCTTCCTGCCCAGTGCGGACGAGCCGGGGCGGGGGCGGGGAGTGGTGGGCTTTTTGTCCAGGGCTCTCAGCAGTCAAGCCTCATCTGCGGGACCCTTAGCGCCCCCATCCCACCCCACTTCCACCCCGTGTCTCAGTTGCCCTTCCTGTTTCTGTTTCCACGCCCCCAGTGTCAGAAGGTAGTCAGCTCTGTGGGTCATCCATGTGGAAGAGCATTGCTGTTGTAGGAAAAATGATTCAGGTAAGAAGGTAGTACGATCCATGACATCCCCCCCCCCCCGCCCCCGCAATCTCTCCCAACAGAGACCACAGGGATGTGGAGACCTTTGTGTAAAGCTGAAGAGGGCATGACTGGTGAAATGAAACAGGACCAGGACTGCTTGGAAGAAGGAAACGGAAGCCGGCATAATGGGGATTAATGAGTTGATTGCTGTTAGATGGTAACAGACTTGCTCCTGCACCTTTGAGCCCAGGAGTTTCAGAGCTGGCAGGGAAGTTGACGACGGAAAAAGCCTTTGTTCCCTTCTGGGGTCTCAGATCTGGGTGTGTAGGACTTAGGGCTTGCCGGCTCTTGGATGTCCATAAGCATATAATTTGCACTTATATAGCACCTTTTAGCCGGGAACCTCAAAGCGGTTTAACCCCATTAATTAATTAAAACCCACAATCCCCCTGGGGAGAGGAGGGAGGAGAACTAACAAGATTTGTAATTGCAGGAGCAGACATTTGCGAATAAAGTATTGTCTGCAAAGTAAAAAGAGTGGGTGTAAAGGAATTGGGGGTCTCCAAAGAGCAACCAATGTAAAAAGGAAATTATGGGATGATAGGGGAGACTGGGGGCGGGCATGGGTGTGGGGGTCTGCTCTTGTGTCAGAGGGAGGTCGAAGGCCTCAGAATTCACTGACAGGTTCAGATCCGATGGAGAAGTTGAGCATGCATGGTATTAGTGGCATTTGCAAGGTCATTAGTGCCATAACTATTGTAGTGTAAATTCAAGTCTCCTTGGTATATTGTGTAGCCCTGCAGAACAAAGAGTTAGTTTCAAGTCGTATTTAATAAAGGATGAAGTGATTTCTTTACACTTAAAGCCTGAAATTGGGCCAGTCAATTAGCAAAGAAATCAAGTGTTGACCCATAGGATAATTTAGTGGTTTCCAGTAGAACGACCTAGCCTACCCACTCTGCCGCCATGAGGCCTGTGCCTGATACTTCAGGCTGAATTCATGCAAAATTTGGGACTTCAATCCTTTCAAAACCAACCATTAATTCTTCTCAATCTTTGGCATCGGAAATCTCTCCTACCAGAAAGGAGTCTGTATTATTTCCTGTCTCCTGTTAGTACTCCAGAGTGCTGGGCACAGATTGATAAAGACTAGTTGAACAACTGATTCTTAACAACTCAGTATTTGTTTTGAGCACATACAACTGCCACCTGTAACTCAGTAGAATAAAACACAGGGACGTGATAGATGCGCATCTGAGTGAAGCAGGCAGGGTGGGCACTCCTGGACAGCAAGCAGGTGCCCCAGGCGAGAGGAAGGTGAGAGAGCTCTGGGTAGACATGGGGAGACCCACGTTCCAGACCGTGGCCATTTGTCTTCATCCAAGGGATGTGCATCTTGGAAACCTATGGTCTTCAACAGAATATTTCTGAAAGTCAAGGTGAGCTTTTGTCATTGTTAAAATGTCCGTTTCCTTTGGATTCTTATGACATAGACTGGCTAAGTCCAAACATCAAGAGATTACTGGAGACGTTGGTGACAGTGTACACAACACACTAGCTTAAAAGAGGAGAAAGCAGCTAACGGGGGTCACCATCACCTTCCCTCACCCTTTCTATCCTGAAGCAGGCCGTGAAACCTCCTGACCTTCTGAACTGGGCTCTACAGCTTTCACTCCAGAGGTGCCCATGCTTAGCCTGGAGGAAAAGATCATCCTTCCCTGGACCAGAGGAGGGGACACAGGGAGGAATTGGAACAGACAAGCCTTGTTTCCCCCAGGTTTACCCTTTGGTCATACCCTGTTGTCCTCTAATTACACTTCACACTTATTCATCTTTATCAAACCTAAGCATGAAACTATGAGGTCTTCATTTCCATAAAGTCATAATGTCACAGAAAACTTACATAAACCAGTGTGTTTCTCTCGTTCATCTGTTGCTTTTAAAAAATTATTATTTTTCTTGGAAGGCAGAGTGACTGGGGGGGAAGAAAGAGATTTTTCCATTTGCTAGCTCACTCCCCAAAAGACCACAATGATCAGGGCTGGACCATGCCAAAGCTGGGTGTGAGGAACTCCCACGTGGGTGACAGACATCAAATACTCGGGCCATCATCTGCTAACCTCCCAGGCACACTTGCAGGAATCCAAGTGGAACAGCCAGGACTTGAGCCTGTGGTCACAGGAGGATGCCAGCTTCCAACGTACCAGTGTCTCCTGCTGTGCCACAGTCTGTCGAGTGTTATAAAGGCCTCGGTCATGGACCTTGCAGTGAGCCAGGATCAGATCTGATTCTCCTTCCCTGCAGTGTCTGGTGCCCAATGTGGGATGGGATGGGGGGGACTCCTCCCTTGCTGAGGAGCATGCAAATGAGATCCTGGGAAGTGAGAATTCTTTCTCAGGTCCACTCTCCCGGACCTCTGGAGTGCCCTGGAGTGCCGTAGAAAGATGCAGCTGAACATTTTCCATTGTCCCTTCCTTTTGAAGTCAGATTAGCAGAATAAACACAGTTATTAGGTTCTAACTTTCTGGTTGAATTCTGTGTAGGGGTCCTCTTGGGTTATTGATCTTTCCCAGGGATAGCTGGCTCTTTCCTTATGCATCTCCTTTCCTTGGGTCCCAAGAATTTAGCTTGAGTTTTTGCTGCTTAGGATGCACAGGTTGACGAGTTTGCTTGAGCAGCCAGCCAGCTTCATCATGGACCCCCCAAGAATGCAAGCAGATAGAAAGGCCACTCCCCATTCCTACTGTAGCCAGATTTAGGGGAATGGAATGCTTTCTGAGATTTTCATCTCCGTTTGCATGTGGGTTGGAATTTTGGGATGGGATGGGGGACGGCTGCATTTTCAAATCTTCTTGGAAACCATCTCTTTTGTCCTTGGTTAAATCCTAAAAGGTTTATTGATTCTGGTTCTAAGCTACTGCCAAATGGCTAGTTTGGTTGAAAAGAAGGACAATATATGCATATGCATTTGTCTTGTGAATCCATCTTCTACTGTGGGATCTCAGCCATAAAATTTGCAATGAGTGAAGAAAAGATATTATTTTTTCCTCCCCTATATTGAGAAAGAGGCCATTCGTTCTTGATAACTTTTTAAAAAGATTTGTTTAATTCAGTCTCTTCCCACTTTTACCATCAGCCATGAAAGAGAAGTGTAACAGTTGGTTCACATGTTAGAACGGGTCCATCCAAAGTGTGTTATAGAAGTAAGACAAGAACACATCTCAAAAGCTTAGAGTGTCAAAGCCGAAGTGGCTTCTCCCTCATTTAGCCCCCAAAGCACGAAGACAATGCTCTCTACCCAGTAGACACAGACATAGCCCTTGAGTTCTGATGCACCAACCATGTGGCAACATAGCCAGAAGCTCCACTTCCATGTGCTGGTTGCACGCCTGACATGTACTTCATACATGTACCCTCATCTCATCCTTTGCACCCTCCTACCAGGTAGGACGCACACCATTCCTTCTCCATAGGTAAGGAATGGAGCCAAGAAAGGCTCAGCATGTTGAAGGGAAGGATGGGATGGAGATTGGAACAGCCCCGCTCCGCCTCCCGCTCGTACTTTGTGCTGTTTCTACTCACATCTATCATCACCTCTCTCACCCTTCCTCCATCCACTGTCTCCACAACAGTACAGTAACTCAGCAAATATGCCCCCCCCCCCAAAAAAACCTGGAGGATCATGTGCAGTCTGATCTTGCACATGATCAGTGATCTTGCACATGAGCAGTGGCTACCAGAGGCTGAGCCAGTGGTGCTGCGAGTCCAGGGCACTTCCTCTCTGCTCACCATCATGAAGGCCTAAGAGACATACCCAGGACAGTTGCCTTGGGGAGGATTCCAGAAAAAGGACACAGGAGGTGTTCCTCCCCACAAGCCAAGCCCCAACCACCCAATGACGGGAGCAGGCCTGAACAATGCATTGTAGCGTTGGGCCCATTGTTTTTGTTTTATAGTCCAAAGGGCTTCTTTTTCTTTTTCTTTTTTCTTTTTAACCTGTTCAGTGTCATGAATTCACAAGACTAACTAGCTCTCAGCAGCTCTGGCTCCTTTCTGCTGGTTCAGAGACTGGCACCTGAACTTGAAGCCAGACACCTAACTCTTTGGCTTCCTTTCTTGGATCACTTTCTTCCACCTGTTTCAGGAAGCCGTCTCAGCTCCCGGTACCTACTATGCTTAATTCTCATGTTCACTCTCTTGGCTAGAACTCTGCGCTTGTTTGTTTACAAGGCCACCCGCACACTGAGTGATGTTGTAGTCTCTTCTGATGTTGCCAGGGCAACGCCGTGCATTGCTTTTTGAACAGTACTCGTCCCCTTAACGTTGCTGGTAACCCCTGCCTGTAGACTCACATGTATTGCAAAGAGCTCGTGGAAAGTGAAACGAAGAGAAGTTTATTTGGGTGCAAAAGGAATTGAAACCCATGCATGTGAATCTTCAAGAAATGCCATACCATAGGAAAATGATGCATGGATTTTTGTTTCTTTCTGCACCAAAATAAACCTAATCTAATTCCACTTTTCCATGGCTGTGTGGCCAACGAAATAACTCCCTGTTTCCTACAAGGCTTGGAGAATGTGTCACTTCCTGTCCTCTCTCCCTCTGTGTGCATCCTTTTGCCAAATTACTAGAAAATGGTGATTCTTGCCAAAAGCCCACTCAGAGTTTTCCTTTGGGTTTTTGTTTCAATTTTTAAAAAAATATTTATTTGAGAGGCACATAGACACAGAGATCTGCCATCCATTCACTTATTCTTCAAATGCCTGCAACAGCCAGGAGCCAAGCCGGGAGCCAGGAATTCAAGCTGGGTCTCAATGTAGGAACCCAACCACTCGAGCCACCGTGGTTGCCTCCTTGAGTCTGCAAGAATGGGAGGCTGTACTCAGGGATGGAGGCGGAACTTGAACCAACTTACTCTGACTTGTGACCCAGGTACCCCAGCCCCAGGTTAGCTGCTATGTTAGATCCCAGACCCCATTCAGACTCCAGCGTTGTGTCCCCAACTGTGCTAGGCTCCTGTCTGTCCTGTTGAGAAAGCCACCGGGGCCTGGGCTCCCTGCCAGCCCAGATTCAGCAGGACATGCTCAGTGATGCTGAACTCCATGCCTGTCAGGTCCTGTGCTTCCAGCATGGCGGTTACCGCTCAAAGGATTGTAAAAGTTTGTCCAGCAAGACCAGGACTGCCAAGGGAGCGTTCTGGAAATGGAAGAGAAGGATTAGGTAATGGAGGAGAAGTCAGTGAAGTACAAAATAACTGAATTTGGCCTTAAAAAAAAATGGTCTGAGAATGATTTGGCCGAGTCCTTTTTTTCCGATCTCTGGTTTCGGCATCATCGCCATCACTTTTGTCCTGTGGGAGGACTTTAGTTCCC